CAATTAAGCAAACATACAATGGTGCGGAACATGAAAAACGAGCCATGGCAGCAAGTCAAATAAACACTTGGAAAATTGATTTGATTGCCTTTTGTCGCATTTCGAATTGCCTCCAGCTACAGCAGAGAAACTGAAATAGCGACGATAGAAGAAGCAAAGATGCTGTGTATTCTTCCTCTTTACTTTGTCTTTGTCATTCATTTGTACCTGCTCGATGATAAGACAAACGATACACTTCACAAATAACACAATGATTCTAGCAATGTTGAGATTCGACACTTATGTTTGTTTTAGTACCATTTGCTCTAGAAAAAGTTCAAAAGTTCTATAATAAATACATGAAGCTTTGATTTTTGATTTAGTACATTTTGAACTTTTTCTAGTACAAATGGTACTCAAATGGATTTTGGTGCCAAATTTCATCTTGCGGTTCTAAAAGTTAGAACCATCGTGTTTACTGTGTACACAAAACTATTATGATGTATTAGAGGAAATGGGGGCGAACCAACGCGGTTTTCAATGCCAAATATTCAGTTAAGCAATTTGAGTCATTGATACAGTGCCGATCAAAAGTTTGGAAACGACTATAAAATGCATTATTTTTATGTTTTTTTTGTCTTATTCAAACCAAATTTAGTTCTTATTCTGAAAGCCTATCGAAATTCTGACCGAATGAAATATTTTAAAGAGAATATTTGGCCGGCTTATGTCGCACCAATGAAAGGGAGACTTTATTTCAGTTTGAATGATGGTACATCCGCTGAATTGCCACATTTGAATTTTTGTGTTTTACATTTCTGCCGTATGGTTTATCATTCATTTAGCGATTAACATTTTTGAGTTTATTCAACAGATTAATTGGTTTTCGCCATAAGGCGATAGCATGAATGAAAATGCGGCAGAAAAAATCAGCAAAAGCCTTTAATGTTTCAAACGCTTCGGATTGATGGCGCTGTCAGAAGCTCTCTGGAGCACATTAGAAGTGGTGAATGTGATTATGGCAGATAATATTTGTGTTTACGTTTAGAAACGTTGACTGTCAAAGTAGAGAATGTTCTGTCAATATAAACCAAAATACCAACATGGCTGGCTAAAATGCTGTCATGGCGGATATCTTTCTCACTACACATGAAAATATCTAAAAAACGGCCTGTGAACAATCAAACACCCATTTTGTTGTATTTTGGTCTCAAATCGACTTTGGCATCGAAAAAATCACTCAAAATGGAGATTTTACATATAAAACGCTGAATTGAGCCCAAATGGTAAGCAAATTGGTATATTTTCATTTGTTTCGCTGGAAAATAAAAGCCATTCACGATTGAATGCAGAATAGGGAATTTTTGAAGCAAAAAAAGTGTTTTTATTGCGAGTTGAAAACATCCTCTGAAGCAGGGTCATTTTTCGACCTTTTAGACCCATCAGACAGGATTGAGATAAGTCTCAATCGATTTTCCGTCAAAAATTACGTGGAAATAGAATCATGACAGCCCATTATAGGTGGGTTTTCTATGCCACAAATGTGATTTTGTAAGCAGATTTCGATTATTCGTTTGTTCTATGAAGAAAAGTCAGTTTCGGACCAAATTTATAGGTAAACCGATGTGGAAAAGGTCGTTTTTTCATGTATTTTGACGAAAAATAGCAGTTTTCTCATATCGAAATGTCGTAAGAGGCCATTTTTCCCACAAAAACACTGAAAAATGACATATGATTCACCTGCCGAGGCCAGATACACGAACTGAATGGGGGGTATACACGAAATTTTATTTTTCCATCTGAAGCGGCGCCACATAAGCGCAAGAAAAACGCGAAAAAAACATGTCAAAAAAACCCCACTATTTTGAGATATTTAACATTTTATACTTTGAACCCATTTTTGGAGGTTCCAATGGGGCCATAGAGGATAGGTTACTAGGCGGATTTTTTAGCCCCATCAATTCCCTTTCCAACGATACCATAGGTTTGGCAACGTGTCGACTACTTCACAGTTGGATTTTAGTTACCGCAAACCCTTTTTTTCGATTTTTTCAATTTTTTGCAAAATTCACACTGGGTTAACTCAGAAAGGCGGGCCATTTTTAGGCCTGAGATTTTGGTTTTCTCTTTTTCTATCGGAAACAAGACTCCAAGCCAATTTTCAGCCAATTCGGCGACCTCACATTGCAACTCTTCCCTGACTTCGTGTGGAATGGCCGATGTGTAAATATTTATTGGTTTTAATTTACCACTTAAGAGGTGAGTTTGGATAAATTAGCAGAAAAGCGTATTAAAGTTCGAAATATTCCATAATTTTAAGATATTTTCACTAGAGGTCTTACAAAAATCCATCCATTTGGCCTCCATAAGAAGCAATGTATTTTTTGTTCAAGCTATCGAATTACGGTTTTCGCATTTTCAGTTTGAAAATTACTGTGGCAAATTTGGTGCGCATCTGTTGATCGATTAGTACAAACAGTTTTTCAAAGGTTTAATCAACTTTTCTACCTATATTCAATTCACTTTTGTCAGTTGTCTTTGACTTCTTTTCACTCGGATTTGCTGAACAACAATATTCGAAATGGCATGACATCTTTGATTTTTTTTAAATATTCCATCAGTTTTCCATTTATGTTCACATCTCAATGAATGCCATTTATGCGCCAATATCGGAACACGTAGCATACTCAACCCAAACATTCGCACAACGGATAGAGATTGTACGAGAATCCATTGGAATGCGAATGACACAAAAAATCGCGCTTGTTGCAATTGTGCTGATGAATGTCACTTAAAATCGCACACTGACCAGCCTGAAAGTGTTGGGAAGAGTAACGAATGCATTCATTTTCATTTCATTGTTAGTGAATGCATGCGATAAATCAAACAATTTTCACAAAGGCGAAAAAAAACTGAAAACGTGATGACAAATTATCTGACTCATACTCATACTCACAATGGTCATAGATGTGAAATTAGGGCGGTCTGTAGATGTAACTCCAGCAAAATGGCCCCTGATGAAAATGTGCCCATAAACTTTTTTATTCCTCGTGATCCAAGACATACAATTATTATGAAACGCCTCATATCATATTTATAAACGAACCCGTCATGTCCCGTTTTGTATGGGTTTTTAATTATAGGGGTGTATAGTTGGTGCCCAGTTTTCACGCCAAAAGCTATTTTGAACGCATTTCTGGACATAGGTTTTTGATTCTCAGCTTTTTGGAAAGATATTGAGCTCCACTACACTACCCAATATAAAAACTTTGAAAAAAGTTTGGGTGAAGAAGTTAAAATAGACCCAAACGTAAAAAACACACAAACAAGGTGGGAATAGCGAATAATCTCAGAATGATAATAGGTTAGGGTATCGTTTTTCCATCATAAATCGAAAGAGCGTAGAATTTTAGTCCGGTTGTTTTGTCTCCTATATCTCTCACCTCAAATATAGCTCATACTTACGTTCAATCGCTTACTTTGTTCTTTAATTTACTTCTCATTCAATTACAAATCAATTCATTTCATTTTCAACAATTTTATTTTAAACTTTCGCTTACGCTACTCGGGGCCCCTTGTAATTAATGGATCGACGCGAATATTCCGGTTGGCCACTGGTGTGGCTCTCCAATCCAAGCAATCCAATCGATTTTCCTCGCTCTTTGCTCCGGCGTCCGATGTACGTTCTCCTTTGACTTTTCTTTGCAACCTCTCCTAAATTGTCGGCTGGTCTTCCCTCGATTATTTGTCTATCTCTCTTTCAATCTTTCTTTTTGGTTTTATTTTGATGTACGATGTGACTATCTGCGCGGTTTGACTATATGCGCAATTTAATTCAAAGGAGCGGTGTGTAAATTTGCATCCGCTGCCGTCGGTATACAAGAAGAGAAGACTTTTTTTTCTGTTTGTCGTTTGACAGTTCGATTTGCTTTGCTTCTTTTATGTGTGTCGCCCTCTCTTGACTTCCTGCATACATTATTAGCTCTCCTTTCTTTTCTTCATTTTACTTATTTCTATTTTACATTCTTTTCATTTATTATTTATTATGATTTTTCTTTACTTAATTTTAAAGTTTCTTTTCTTAATTTTTAATTTCTCCAAACCAAAACACACTCCCCCCTTTGAAAGAAGACATTGCCTGAGTGTAATGAAAGCAATTTCAAATTCGCAGTTTTATTTTCCCCTCTCTTGGTTCGGTTCTTTCACCTCATCCTCATTTGCTCAGTCTTCTCATTGCTGGTGGTAAGCATGTGTAAAATATTGTGGTCGAATTTAGACATTCGCACCGGATTTTCTTTTCTCTCTGCCCAATCTTTTCAGTGGGTGGTCGCACATCTTTTCATGGCTTTCTCTCGCTCTTTTTTAGATGCTAACACCATCTTTTCTTGGCAGTGTACATTTCATTTGTCCGACGAGAACCGTCGCGATTTTTCATGCAATCAATTTGTGCAGTGACGGCACAACGGTGCGGCCCTCCAGACTTCTCTGTTATATTTATTAAACACGAGCTCTGCAACAATATTTGTTTTATTGCAATCAATATAATAAATCGATATTATTTTGGGGTCACGATCCTCTTCAGACATTTTTTGCTAAATACCGCCTGATTTTACATTCGAATAAATTCGCAATGCTCACACAAGAATGTCTGCTGTCGTTACCAAAACGATTTTCTATTTTCCATCTTTTCACGTTAGATAGTTTTTTTCCCTCCGCGTTGAAATCCAGTGAAAAAAAATTGTCACACGAGAAAGAATAAAATCAAAATTAGTTCACATGCATAAAATGCGCTCAACGAATAATGCAACAACAACAATACAGCCTCACAGAGACGTAGACAAGTGCATCGAAAGTATATAAAGCGAAAAGAGAATGAGAGAATCATACATAAATACATAACGATCGTGTATATAATTAGCCACTGAAGATAGCAAAGCCGGGTGCTACGAGAATAGGGGAATCGTGAGTAGTGCAAAGCAGAATGAAAAAAGTAACTGACCAGCATAAATAAACGATCCAACATGAAGTAAATATGCATCGATATGCGCAGTAAACATTGAAATAGAAAATGAAAAAAAAATCATCGTTCAAGTTTTAGTTAAGCAAATCAATATCAAATTAAAATTTATTTAATCTATCAATATTCTATATCATTGAGCATGATTTTTTTTAAATTTAAGAATGAAACGATAATATTTTGAATTCGATCAAATAAAGTGAAAAACGAATATGTCATTTGAAGAAAGTATATTCAACGCAAAAGTAGAGGCATTAGATGAAATAGCTGCATCAATTTTAAGAAAAAACGCCAGCAAAAAGGAAAAAACTGTTAAAGAAAGAGAACAAATTCTCATTGCCTGCTACAACGATCTGATCAAATATTCTTCTTGTATTTACAATTCGAATAACAATGTATTCATTGAGAGTCACAAAGCAATTATCGTAGCGAAAAGAGATAAAACTATCCAGTGTCTTGGTAGATTGAATTCTGAATACAGTGTACCATCAAGCCTTATAGATACGATCGAACGTAGTGGATCATCATCAAGCTCGAGTGGCACTTCTAGTTCTTTGAATAGTCGTGGCCTGAATAGTAACATTTTGCATACGCCCGTTCGTTCCGACGATTCAGACGATAGTCATAATTCAAGAGAAAACTCTGGTAATTCTAAAGGAAAAATGATGCAACCACCGCAAACTGCACGCGAATTTGTGCAAACAGCAAATCAAATGATTGGTTATAAATATGGTGGCGATCTGAATTCATTGGAAAGTTTTCTTGACGCGATTAGTCTGTTACAAACGCTTGTTGAGCCACAAAATGAAGACATTTTTTTGAAATTTGTTTTGACACGTTTGGTAGGGTCAGCACGCGAAGAGTTTCCGGAAGATCCAGAGAGTGTTGATGATATAGTTGACGCTCTGCGAGATAAAATCAAACATGAATCATCGAAAGTCATCGAGGGCAGAATAATGGCATTACGTACAGATAGAATGAGTTTGACTAAATTCGCAGAAAGAGCTGAAGAACTTGCGAAGGAATTTAAGCGTAGTCTCGTTTTTGAGGGTTTTACAAAGAAAAAAGCACAAGAAATCACTATCGAAAAAACAATCGAAATGTGCCGTAAATCTGCAAAAAGCGATACAGTCAAAGCTATTCTAGCCGCTTCGAAGTTCGAAAATCCAAACGAAGTAGTTGCAAAGATGATTGTCGAAATAAACAACGCGAAGCAAGATAAAGCCGAATCTTCGAATTTCAGACAAAACAATCAAAACAGAAACGGTCGCGGAAATTATCGTGGTCGCGGGGGCCACAATGGCAATTACAATCGCAACAACAATAATGATAATCGTGGTGGTCATAATGGAAACCGTGGTGGCTACCGTGGACGTGGTGGCTACAATCGAAACCGTAACTACAATAACAACAACAATAACAACGGAAACAACGGAAATGAACATACAATCCGCGTTATTACGGGAAACGGGCAGAGCCCGTCTCCCAACGACGGGCAACCACAGCAACAGCAGCAACAAAGCCAACAATTTCCAGTTCTAAATTAGTAAAAGAAATTGATCAAACCGGTCATCGAATGTTGCAAATTAATAGCTGTTTTTCTAATTTTGTAACCTTCAATACACATGTTTCTGACATTGCATCATTATTTTAACTGGACACTGAAGCATCAGCATCGATTATTAAATTATCAGCGATTACTAAACCCATAAACTACGACAAAAATAATATCATCAAAATGACGGGAATAAGCCGAGAACCAATTTTCTCTCTCGGTTATTTTCAACTAAAATTAACACATTCTGACATAACGTTCGAGCATGGATTTCACATCGTATCGATGATATTCCTATCCCTTCAAATGGAATTATTGGTATCGATTTCATAAAACGTTTCAAAGGCATCTTACATTATGGAGACATGACGTTCACAATATTTAAAGATAATGCAGTTCCAGTTAAAATCGAAATTAAATCTGAATTAATGCCGGGAGTATCTGCATTACCTCCAAGATGTGAGACTTTCAAAATGTTTCATATTAAGAGCGAATCATTCCCATGTGTGATTGAACCACAAGAAATCGAAAAAGATTTTATTATTCCAACAACAATTGCGTACGAAAAAGATACATTCATACGTGTTTTAAATGTCAACGAAGAATCTAAAATCATAAAAACAGACAACATCGATGGAAAGTCATTGAATGATTATATCATTCTACAATCAAATAGAGACAAAATGACATGGAAAAAAATAACGTTATTGAATGGCAATAGACAATATAGTTGAAATTGGAAAAGACTACTTTCTGATTTCCATTGTCCATTTCTCTGATTGTGATCTGACTTGGTATTAACTACAAGCCCAGTCTATGTCATTTGAATTAACGTTTCTTAAGTATTTGTTTGATTTTCAATTAAAAAGTCACTCTAAAACATGCCAATAGTAATAATATGATTCAGTTTTATTTATTTGTCCTTTGCTTTTATTTTATTGAATGAAATTTGCTTAGAATATTCTTAATCATAGATATAATCAATCGTTGCATCGTCAATAAAAATGTTAAAATGAAAACACAGAATTTTCTCGTGTTACACCGTGAACAGCTTCAACTTCTCGCATTGCGTTTGAGTAACCTTTACGGATTACTTGATTCAGCGTTTCTGCATCATTTTTAGCTTGATTCAAATCACGCTTTCGTTTTGAGGCTCTTCTGTTGGTGCCAACAACTCATTATCGATTTTTGTTTCGGTGCATCGAGTTTCAAAAATTGCCTTCTGATTGCTCGATTTGTCATTGTTACGATTTAACCAAGCATTGACTTCATTACGATTCAAGACAACTTTAACGTTTCGACAGACGCTATGTATTCGACCACCTCCAACAACGGGAGCCTATTATTAACAAAAACCGACGATGAGTTGTTGGCACCAACCAGAAGAGCCTCAAAACGAAAGCGTGATTTGAATCAAGCTAAAAATGATGCAGAAATTAATTACGTTTCGATGCATCGCAGTTGAATCTTGGTGTGTTTTCACCTTGAATAAAAATACAAAACAAAATTCAAAATAAAATATATGTAAAAATTAGTTGACGTATTGATTTATCAACCCATGATGGGCCAAGGGCAGTGTCAAACCGGATCTGGTCCATCCTGAAGATCCACTTCCAGAACTGGGAGCAGTTCTGGTCGATCCTGAGGATCCACTAAAACCCACTTCCAGAACTTGATGATTATTAAGATTGAATGTTGATAAATTATCAGGATTCGATCTTAATAACTTTAAAACGATATTATTAAGATTCATCCGATAACGTTATTATTTGAATATAGTTAATAACCTGATAAAAAGTTGATAGCGTTATTAAGATTTATCGGTATTATGATCGGATCTCAATAATCTCTCAAAATTATTAGGATGATTATTTAGATACGAATATGGCACAGCTATATTCGCCAATAGTAAATGTGGTAATTTGATAAATTACCATTGGTGTATGTCAATCGTACTAATTCCGTTCTCTGTGAGCAGGAAAAATTTCTTTCTATTATCATAATTACTTGTGACATTTCAATTACTTTCAAGTGATTTCCACCTCGCAATTCCCCGATTTTTTTTCTCCCAAAAGGCAATTTCCCGAAATTGAAATATTATTTTAGTATTTCAGTATTTTATTGACACCGCCAAAGTCTGGCTGAATAATTTAGTTTTTGCAGGAAAATTATTCCCTCCGAGCGAACTGTGTGAACTTTCTCAAGACACTCTCGATTTTGTCGATGTGTACGACATATGTTGGCATTCACATAACGTTGCAGTACTCAAGATGAGACTGAACCAATGCGTAATACAACGTTTTGAGCGTATGAACATCGGTTATGTCTCTGCTAAAATGATTACTTTTGATCATCAGCTGTATAATAACGATCGAACATGGACCATGAATAATATGATCAATTCGATATATAGAAAAAGAAGTGAAAATCGAATGGGAATCCGTACGAAAATATTTAAATGAATCTGTAAAAAGCAATTGACGATCGTTTGATTCGTCTTTTTTCTTCATCAAAGACGTTCCGTGTGAGTGCAACACTTCTGCTTCCGGGATGATGTTTTATTTCTGTGCGTTACCAAACCACTATATTATATCCGTAAATATTTGAGCAAATATTTTGAGAGCTTGTGCTATTCGAAAGGGGAATGAATGTAATGCCCCAACATTGAAAGTGATATGCATACATGCATTATATTGAACGTCAAAAACGCTTAAAAACCATCGGAAAAAGCATAACATCAGATTACGGTTGAATGTATCGTTTTTTCCTTCTCTATCGTTATCTTCTCTCTGTCTCCACATTTGAGAGGCGAGAAAGGAGGAAGCTCATTTCCAAAATGCAATACATAACAGAGAAACGCCATCACACTCTCGTTGCGACTATATAATACGATCGTTCGATATAATACATTTTCGTATTTTGATTCAAGTGGATATGGCATTCATTGCTAAAATGCTACTAAGATCAAGAGCTCCACGTACTATATGGTGCATAAAAAATGAACACGGTCGGCTTTCGTGATTATATCTCGCAACTTCGCTGCTTGGATCGCGCACGCCACCGAAGAATTTCCAAAAATTCGCGCCGCTTACATTCATTCATAAGTCCTTCTACGTTATCGACCAGTGAATGGCATTATCGATTCGATATTTTGTCGATTTGCTTTCGCTTGGTCGATAACTGAATGAAAATTGGTTGATTTCGCAAAATTAGACAGCAGCAGAAACGGTGGTTGCGGCGACGGCTGCATGGCATCGCGGCAATTGCATAAAGAAACTTCTACAATGTGTTCAATTTTACACACAGCGGGAGCCCATTGTGTATAACACGTGGCCATAGTCAAGTATCATGAATCCAACTAGACTAACTTGATGCGCAATTTTCTTCGGCTGGAATTTTCAACGCTCTTTGCACAGTTGCAGCCTCATCCGATGAATTGTTGACCATGCAAATGAGCGATTGCGTTTTTTTCTCTTACTTGACGAAATCATTGAAAGTGAATTAATCCAAACATGTGCGAAATCGTTGAATTCAATACGCAATGAAAGTGAAAATGAGTTTTATTTGGGATTGTTAGCGTAATGATTGTTTAATAATAATTGAACGCTTTTTTCATTTGAAAAGCTTAGGGCTGTCTGCAAATCGGTTCTACTCAAACAAAATATGGTATTGTAAATTCTGAAGTTTCTTTCTCATTTCATCGATGTCCATGCACGGTAACACACATAGAAACCTGCAACTGTGCGAACAACTGTATTTAGAATTCATTATATATATTCAACTAATTCCGCCTCGAAATAATACCATCAACACCAAATGAAGCGGTGACGATGGTTTGAAGTACGAAAAAGGTACCAATTCACTTATGATAATCTTTCGGAACGACCTAAGCCAAATTAAAATTACACAATGAACAATTCGACTCTACCGTTTGTAATATGGGCTAAGTCATCATCATAGGCATCACCACAACCACATCAATATTTTGATCGGCTCGTATGAGCGTGTTAAGCGATACCGAATGCCGATAATGCAATCATCCAAAGATACAGAATTTCACTGCTAATTATGAAGAAAGAGAATATGCCCCTTTCTCATTGAAAATATACGGCGAAACGATTGCAAATCATTCAAACGATATGATGTAATCGAACGCGCGGTCGAACGAAGAGTGAAGGTACGCGCAACAACAAAATATATATGCATGAAGAGATAAATGAAAAAAACAACAACAAACCAGCAATGCTTGGTTTATTGAAAGTATGAATGAGAGTGAAAAGTATTGATCTTTCTTGTAATCGAACACCGAACACAATGCTGTGCAAACGGTCATTCCATTTTAGACAGAATAATTTATGGATCTTCATGCAGATTTTTTTCCATTTCATTTCACCAATGGATATTAATGTTGTTGTTGCTGCTGCTGCTATGCTTTTTTCGCTTGGGTATTCTGTTGGTCGACCACATATTGCTCGTGTATGTTGTGTTATATCTCTTGATGATTTGGTACCAATTATCTTTGAATGTGATGGCGCCCCGTACGCGAATGAGCGCTGGAGTGATTGAAACAATATCTGTTTTCTGCCGAACTGAATCAAAAGCAACACATCGCAATGAAAGTGCGACTCGTGGCGGCATAACAAAAGTAAAAAACGCAAACATTAAATCGATTTGATGAAGCACAGCAAATACGTACCATAAAAAGTGAGGGAATAAAAAAACAAAAAGAAAAAAGAAAGAAAAAATGCGTACATGGTCAATTTCTTCGTGAGGCGATGAACGTTTATCGATTTTAATGCATGACTAATTACAGAAGATAGAGGAAAGCAAAATACTAATCCAAATGCGATTTTTACATCTCACTTATGAATTTGATCATACATCTCGCTGATTTTGAGCACATAACATAACATAGATTAGCAATTGATGTTGTGCCTGCTTTTGCTGATCTCCATCACACAAAACATCAAGTAAGTGGAATCCAACAAGCAT